GATTGAGTTTTAAACTTGTCTTGAAAAAAATTGAATTGGAAAGCTCTTACATGAGTATGATGTTGGGAAGATTGTTTTGGAATTATTGGAATTAAACTTAAATGATTTAATTGATGTTTTACTTATCTTACACATAATCTACTTAGCATAATTTGCTAATGCGTGCTTTTGTTTGGCTTTGCCCTATTTACCATTTATGGTAAGCAGGTGAACTTTTTAGGTGGAAGTTGATTGATGCATATGGGAGTCCACGGGAATTTCACCTAGCTTAGGGAAAAGTTTGACTTTGTTTTTGTGTCATAAATAATGAACAGTTTTATTTGAAGTATTATTAATAAAGAATAAAGAATTTCCGCTACAAAAGTATTTTGAAGTATAAGCCTTGCGTTATCACGCGGCGGTAATACGCCCAAGTCTATCTCTACGGTATTTATACATATTTTTCTACATCTTCCGTAGAGGGAGATTTGGGGGTGTTACAATAATAAAGTAAAAGTGAACCAAAACACAAATTTATCAAGTAAACTAGGTTCAAAAACACCCTAAAATCATATCAAATAGCAAGTTATCAACCATCTATGTGTATGGAGCATGACAAGGCAAGTATGAGGAGGGTACACCCAACATCAACATGCACCCGCCCCATTAAACACCCAAACTTCATCTAATTCTCAACAAATGGAATAGATACAAGATGAGTCTCTACAAAATTCGTTTCATTAACATCCTTAAATCCAGCAAATCTAATATCATAATACTAATAAATAAAGTCGGTCTCGCAACTATGCCACGAGACAGCGACACTTGGCATTTCAGTTTTTCGCCGAGTGTCGCGCCACGTAAGAGATAAATAGGTATTATTGTGACACATATGATGCTAAAAAAACGATTTTTGGATAGTTTTTTTAAGATAAAATTGTTGTATATATTATCGATAGAATCTAATATTTCATCTATACAAAATTAATCATAACTTTTAATAAATATTTTATAACTCAATTCTATTTCCATCATCAAATTTGTTTTAAAAAGTTCTTTAAAATAAGATCCATTTATAATATATTTAATCACAAACTTTTATACGTAGTTGGCCAAACTGTGTCACCAATTATTACAAGAATTACTTCGTTAGTGCTATAGGGGTTACTTGGTCAATGTTGTAGCAGTTACTCAATAAGTGTTATAGATAGGGGTTACGTAGTCAGTGTTAGAGGTTACTTAGTTAGTATTACAAGGGTTACTCGGTCAGTTTTATAGGGTTATTTTTGTTCGGCAAGATGGTGTGGCTAGCCGCATACAAAATGCATTGTTATTTAATTTATTTTAAAAAATATTAATCAGTAAAAATAAGTTTTAATCAGTAAAAGTAATTTTAGTTTGGTTAAAATACTTTTAGTTCAGTAAAAATAATTTAAGCTCAATAAAAATAATTTAAAGTCAATAATAACATAGATATCTATTTACAAACAAAACTATAAAAAGTATTTTTATATAAATATAAGTCATATAATATCGTATGTCTAAATATCCTACATTATCAGAGCGAATTATTTAATCTTATTTAACATTCACACAAGTATAAATGTTATCTTAAAATTTTATCAACCATCTGGATATCGCCCCGGCACAAAACTAGTATATATATAAAGGCGAGTTTTTTCCCAAGATTTTAAAGAGCCACGTAGAATTTTAAATTTTTAAAAAATTAGAGCGCCATGTAGGATTAGTATTTTTAGAGCGTTATGTATAGAATTATGCCATGTAGGATTATTATTTTAAAGCGCCACGTAGGACTAAAATTAAATTAAGGTTTAAATTTATAATAAAAATAAAATATTATCTTTTAAAATTGAAATTTATCTAAGAGAAAAGAAACAATTTATTTTATTTTGTATATATACAAACATACTATCAAACTTAAAAAATGAAATTCAAATTCAATTGATTTAAAAAAAAAAAAAATTGGATTAGTTAAAAAAAAATAATGTTATGAGAAGTGATTATAATAAAATATTTATTTTAAAAAATACTAATAAAAAAAATATGAAATCACATTCAATTATAAAAAATAAGAAAAAAATCATTAAAACTAAAAATATATCCTTTCTCTTTTTCCAGCACAAAAAAAAATGTTTTATCATTTATCATTTATTCGGCTAAAAGATTAAGTTCTACGTTAATAAAATTTATCATATCTAATAAACTTTATCACTACTTTAAATCCAGTATTTTTTCAATCGGATATAATCTAACGTTTCACACAAATAAATATAAAACTTTTACAGGCAAAGAAGCATGTTTTAGAATTGGAACACCATGAAATTCTCGAATGCGATGAACAGTGATCATAATTAAGGAGTCAGTCATAACTCATAAGTGTTAATTTTGCAAGGATGTTAATTTTGCTATTCAAGGGGGTGGGTTTAATCATGCAACTTATCAATTGGCACGATTAACGATTGATTTACAAAGGATGATAGAAGCTTGAAAAATTTAAAATTTGTTTGTATATGTGTGAACCTTAATTGTATAAGATTAAAAAAATAGTAATATTATGTATTAATACTTTGTTATTTCTATTAAATGTTAAATGTTAAGTTTAACAATGAATAAAACCCGTGCATCGCACGGGTTTAAATCTAGTAAAATAAAATATTAGAATTTATCATAAGATTAAAGCATGTTTTAGGAGTTTTTTTAAAAACTATGTAATTTAAATAAACAATAAAAAAAAACAAACCAATGTATATCATAAACCATTAACAAGTTTCATGGGCTTTCAAATATTACGTAATATGATATTAAAAAAAATCATAATTAAAAAAATCATAATATATGATAATTGTTTTCCCTAATATCCAAAATCACGTAAAAAGTAGTATAAATATATAAGAAAAGAAAAAAGAATTTAAAAAATTAATCATATAGATGACAATTATATTAAGAAGATAAACTACCATGGCATATTTAGCATGTGATTAGTGTCCATAATAAAATAGTTAATGTCATGTAAATTGACTTTGCCTTCCTTTTAGTTAATACTTCGTATGACATAGTAATACAGTCAGCATAATTGTTTCATATCAACTTCTCAACTTTATTTGGTAGTTGTTACAAATATAATGGGGTTCTTATCCTTTGTCTCCACTTGCATACTAGCTAAAGTAAGTGTCTATAAACAAGGTCGTTCACCTTTTCCAAATAGTGTCATTGATAATATAGTTAATGTAGCCGTAAAACCATATCTTTATATAAAAATCATTTATGATAATTATTATCACTAAAATCTGAAATACTTAAACGTAGTATGATATACAAAAAGATAAAACGAAAAAAAATAATGATATGGATAACAATTAAAAAGGATTAGATTACAAAGAATGATAAAATTTATCTAGAGAAGATATGATTTATTGTATTTCCTTATAAATAGGCCTTAATTTAATTCACAGTATATGCACTGCCAATTAACCACACAATACATAGAAAAATATTAATTGGTTTCTTTTCATAATTAAAGACCCAAGCTTCATGGCTTCACAAAGTGAAATTTACAATACCTTCGGGGATGCAATGGTAAACAAAGATACAACTAAGATTGGAGACGAAAAAAAATTAATCTTGTCACTGTCATTCACCGGAGGCACAAGAAACATGTACCAAAATTACAAAGAAACAATATACTTTACACACTACATACTTGGGGCTGAAGAGGGGAATAAGATAATCCTGCCAGCGTCATTCACAGGAGACCCAAGATACTTATACCAAAATTACAGAAAAATAATAGAGTACTCTACATAGAGGTGTAGAAGAGAGAATTCTATTTAAACCTCACAAATTGTTATTTTTTTTAACATATATATATTATTAATAAAAAGAAATTTTAAATTAATTGCAATAGTTTATCAATGATAAATAATAAATGTCTTTTTATTTATGATTTTATCTGTTTTTGATAATAATTATTATTATATAATAAGATACAAATCTTAAATAACAATAATTATAAAAAAAAAAAAAACAAAGTCGTGCATCGGGCTTCACAGCTAGTATTAATACGAAGTACTCTTTTACTCAACATTATCCTTTTTTTTTTATTTTTTGAAAAATATATAATCCCAAATCAAATAATTATAAAATTAAAAGATATATACACCACTACTCACCCAATCTACCACCTTGATATTAAAAAAAAATAAAAAAAAAATGGTGTATGTACCATGTCTTATTATTATTGCTTTAAATCATGTAAGACATGATGGTTTTCTTGAAGTTCAAACACAATAATTTTACTTACATCATCTAGGTTTTTTTTTTTTTTTTTTTTTTTTTTTGAATTTTTTAAGATATAATATTTGATGAGTTGGATTGAGACCATCAATCATGGTTACAAGTCTTGGGTGGATAGCCCAAACAAAGTGGTTCACACAATAATGCAAAGAAAAGTCAAAATGGTGTAAGAACTAAGAAATACTTGTAAGCCCAACTAAGAAACAAGGCACAAACAAAGTCTTCACTCTCAGCTGCTGCATGTGATTACAAATACTCATTCCCAATTACTGCCACTCTAACAATTATACTATTCATTTTGCTACAGGACTTTCACTAATTTAATCTTAACTATTTCTTGGTACCTCACCAGGTATGGTATCCAAAGTAATGATATAATTTGGTATCCGAAGTTACTTAGACTATGGGACTAACTATTCTAGATTATAGCCAGTATGATTGAGTAATAAATGTTGTTACCTCATTCGTTTTAAAATATTTGCATTGACTTAATTGACATATTTACTCGTATATAAGTTTGATCATAAATATATATATGGTTGAAAAAGTCTATATATGACAAATATATACCGAGACTAATCCAACATAATACAATATCATTTGATTTTTATATGTTATCCTGAAAATATGGTTAGAATAATGCAAAAGTCAAATTGTTACAACTATTCAGATTTACTAACTTGTATACGGGGTATGTGATTGGCTATAGGTTACTCGGTTATAGTGTTATAGGGGTTACTTTGTTATGATTTAAATATTTTTTAGGAGCACAAATTTAGGACTTATAATTAGTTAATAAAGCAACAAGATTAGTTATGGATTAGTGTAAAGAAAAAGATGGCTCAACTTTCTCCCTACCTTAATTCCACTTTTACCGTTTTCTCCTGTTCATTTCAGACCCACCACGCTCCTGTCTGAATATCTGCTTTACAACTTAGAAAAAGAATTAATCTTCTGGATCTAATCTCACCCAATTTCTTTAATTTTTAATCTTTTTGTTCAAGGTATTTTTATTTTATTTTTTAAATTTTTTATTATTTAAGTATTTCATCTATGTCAGTGCTTAGTGATTGGTTACCCATAAACTGTACCAAAAGTACACAACTTTACCCTCATAAATTACAGAATTCTGTGATGATCAAATCATTGAACAAGAAAGAAATATCACTGATTCCCAAATTAACATTTTGATTAATTTTTCATTCTATTATATCTTCTTGATTTTCCCAAATTAATTTCTGGGTTTCTTCTAATCTTGTTAATTTTTTCTGGGGTTTCAAAAAAAATTACACAAAAATGCTAGAGTTGCTTCACTTTTACTTCATCTAATTAAATTCACTTTGTACTTTTGAATTTATTCTGGGAATGAGTGTTCTTTGGGCATTGATTCTACACCCTGTACTCTCTCTGCATTCACTTTTACAGGCTCTCTATTCTCTGAAATTCCTGTTCTGTTTTCTTCTGTTGAACAGAAGTATAACAGTATTCAGTGTAGTATAGATTTTGCTTATGTTTTACTCCAAAGAAAGAGGGCGGGTAATACGGTAGCTCATCTTGTAGCAAGACGGGATACTAATATTGATTCCGAATACGTTTGCTGAGAAAAATGTTAATCACTAGTGTTGAAGAAGAGATCTCAATCCCATTTGAAAATGGAAATGAGGTTCTGAAAATTTCAGATGGTATAAATGGGAATTTAACAATTCAGGAAATTCCTATAATTTCTGCTCTTACAAATAATGTGGTCCCTGAAAACACTCAGAGTGATCTCAGTGAATTAATATCAAATTTAGAAGGTAAATGTTCCTGATTTTTTTGAACTGTTATTGTATAATTTTTATAAAATGTTTTACCCTTCTATTTTTTATTTTTTTTTAGTAATCTGTTGAAATTATATGATTATTTTTTTTTAGTAATCTGTTGAAATTATATGATTATGCAGAAGAGATTATAGGATTGAAGTCTAAGCAAAAGGATTTGGATGAAAAGAGAAGAGGGTTGTTAAATAAGATATTGGACTTTAAAGGTATTATTATGAGTTTGATGATTTTACAGTGAAGTAATGTACATTTTATTTGAGCTAGTTTGATGCTGAAATTTCATATTAATGATCATATTAGGAAGCATTCGAGTATTTTGTCGAATTCGACCATTGTTGTGGAGCAATATCAGCAAAAATGATGATCCTGTGGTGGTTGATTTGGACAAAGTTGTTGTCAAATCAGCTGGAAGCAAGAAGGGATTTGACTTTGATAAGGTGTTTTGTCAAAATTCAACTCAAGGTTAGCATTTTAATGTTTTCTTAGTGCAAAATAATGTAATATAAATTAGAAGTTAGTTGTATGTTTTCACTTTCAATGTTAAATATTTCGGTTGTTTTTTTTTTTTGATCAGTTTTAGTAAGATTTTATATTGCTTATTATTCTGTAGAAGATGTATTTGTTGAGGTTGAACCAATTCTCAGATCTGCACTTGATGGGCACAACGTTTGTATTTTTGCTTATGGTCAAACTGGTACTGGAAAGACCTTTACAATGGTGAGATTTCAAATCGGATTTTGTGATATTTTTGTAATGGTACAAGGAAAGATCTGTTTCCCATTTTTGCCAAAGGGTCTCAGGAGTCGTGTTTTCGATTTTATAGGATGGGATGAATGATCAACCAGGCATTGTTCCTCGAGCTCTTAAAGAGCTCTTTCACTATGCCTCTTTGCATTCTACTGCTTCTGTCACTTTCTCTATGAGCATGTTGGAAGTTTACATGGGCAACTTAAAGGACTTGTTGGCTCCGAAGCCAACTCGTAGAGCATATGAACCGGTATCAAGATGGTATTTACATATTCCTAATTGGCTCCATTCCATTTTATATGTTGACATAATTAATTCGTGTCATTCCTGTTATCTGTCAAATAATAAATACTTCATATGTTAATAATACACATCCTAAATAGCATGGGAGTGTTTAGCATATACTCCTGTGATGTATCTAGCAATTCGAGTGGCATCCTCTCATAATCTATGTTGGATGAATTACAGCAACCAGCTGAATGTTCAAGTTGATGCAAAAGGAGTTGTTGAAATTGAAGGCCTTACAGAAGTGCCCATCTCTGATTTCTCAAAGGCCAATTGGTGGTACACTAAGGGAAGACGAGCTCGTGCAACTTCATCCACTAATGTTAATGATGTGTCTAGCAGATCGCATTGGTGGGTTCTGCTTCCTATCCCTTTAAATACTGTGGTCTCTGTGTGTGCATTGTTTTTACCTATCAATTCATTTAAGCCCTCTTGTGCATTCATTGGATTACTTTGGTGAGGCATTTACGTTATCTGTTTTAGTTTTATATATATCTAGCTTAATGAGGATCACCATTTCTCATCATGGAGGTGCTCCGGAAGGTCAAGCAAGAACTAGCAAGTTGTGGATGGTTGATCTTGGAGGGAGTGAACGGTTGCTGAAAACTGGAGCTACTGGTCTAACATTAGATGAAGGGCGTGCCATAAATCTCTCACTTTCTGCTCTGGGTGACGTTATTGCTTCACTCAGACGAAAAAGAACTCATGTTCCCTACAGGTGCGTTGAAATACAGACTCAATCCAAGTTTAAGGGAGTGGTTTTTCCACTTGTTTTAATCATGCATAATCTAATTGAAGCCATCTATATCTGCAGAAATAGAAAACTCACTCAAATATTGAGAGATTCACTTGGTAAGTTTTGCATTTCTTTTGTACATGCTCAAAGATCAACTTTCAAGACTCCAATTATTGTTTACTATGCATGTGATTCCTAGTTTCTGTATATATTCTGATTTGGTTTTTGAAGAACTCTTTCTGAAACTCATCTTGTGTTTTGTGTTTACATTTTGGTTTCAGGAAATGAATCAAAGGTATTGATGATCGTGCATATAAGTCCCGTTGAAGAAGATCTAGGGGAGACCATTTGCTCTATGAGTTTCGCCAAAAGGGCAAGAGGCATAGAATCAAACCAAGAGTTGCCTCAGGTAGTCCATACTTGTTATCTTGTCCATTACTCAGCATACTTGGGTTTAAGCTTGCATTACGCATACTGATGTTTTGAGTATCCCTTACTTTAGGAAATAAAGCAATTAAGGCAAAAGAAAATAGCAGAGCTTTCTGATGAAATGAGAGAAGCTGAAGAAGAGTACCAAAAAGCCAGGGATCAATTGCAGAAGGCTGAATCACTTCTTAGTGAGAAAAAACAGGTTAATGCAGTTGCCTGTGACAGCACCGAAGATGAAGAAAAGATCACAGATAACACCAAAATCGATTCCAAGGAAATTGTAGATACCCCTTGTGATTCTGAAAAACCAACCAAAAGAAAATCATTGCCGCATTATATGACTCCCACTGCTATCAGTCGCCTGAGGCACAGTGCTTCAGAACGACAAAATCACTATGCAGCAAGAGTTTTAAGGTCTGGGACTAGAAGCTCCATGCAACTTTCAGCTTCACAGTCCCTTAGTTTTCTTGAGCCTCGTCTTAAAGCAGTTCTACAAAGTGCAAGTAGACATCATCCTGATAAAGCAGCGAAGAATGTTCCCACTGAGACTCAAAACTGCAATAACTTGGAACCTAAATCTGCCTCCTCAGCGCGTAATAAACCAGTGACACCATCACTTGTGAACAGCAAGCCTACATACATTCGTCATAGGAGAAGGATGTCAAATCTTATCTGATCAGAAATTCTTGTTTGCTCACTCTACATAATCCAGTTATGAGTGTGATCATTCTCAGATCCTTCCTAGGACTTTTTCTTTTTCGGACTGCAAGTCGTGCTTTTCTGGGTGTTGTTACTGGACTTGTTGGTTGGTTTGTTAGCTTTTTTTCAAGTTTGTTAGCTGTGATTAACAGCTTATTAGGTATCCACTATGAGTTACATTGTGTGTTGGGTGGATCACTCTTTTAGACTGAAAGGCTATCTTTTTTTATGTGTAGCCCAAAGTTTGATGTATGACATAGGGAGGAAAAAGGGTATAAAATCTGTATGTTGGATTTTTGTTTTACTGGTTTTTGAAGAGTGTAACTAAAATAGACATAAACTTTGTAAAATTTTGACTGAAACATATAAAATAAAATAGTTTGGTTTGCTTATTGACACTTTTTGGTGTATCTTCAGAATATTTTGACAAAATCAATGCTAATTATTTATTCTAGTTCTGTTTGATTCTTCATTATGCATGATATTGATATTTTGCCACCTTATAACATGCACATTTTTTTTTTTTTTTTGTATTTGCATGCTAGATACTTGGGAGTAAAGGGGAGGGTAAGGGAATCCCTACCCCCAAGTACCCTCACCATTTTATCTCTTAATTATGAAAGCTATACGTGATAAATTAGTTTTTGCCAAGTTTCGTCTATACTTTTAAACTTTTAAGGGATTATTAACACATTTTTAGACTTTTGTCGAGGACTTGAGGTCTTTATAACTCAATTAAGTTTTTTTTTTTTTGTTTTTGGTAAAGTTAAAGCAAACACATGTTACCTCACCACATGTTACTCACCTCAAATGGTATGACGTCACATCTTTATAAGAAAAGAGTATTTTTTTTTTCAAAATAAAACAAAAATTTATCAAATGAATATATTCCAATTACATTTGCAATCGATCATCAATTATAACTTTATTCAAATCAAACCATTTATCTCCATCTGATGTATGTAGTCTTAAATACTTTGTATCAAATAATTATGTGAAGTACTCTGTATTGCATAATATCACATGAGATATCATATGAGCCAATAACTAATTTATGAGTTAAAACTTACTCCGTATTTGTATGTCATTTATAAATTCATACCTGTATATGTTCGATTAAACCACACTCATGACTCATCAAATCGTACTTTACAAGTTTATAGTGTTGTTCGACATGAAAATGCCCGGAGCCAAATCACGCTAATTCGTTAAACCAGACTGCGAACAACTCTAGATTTGAGTAGAGGTGTCAAAACCACACCGACCCAACCCGATCCGAAACCAACCCGAAAAATATCCGATTTAGAGTTGCACTCGCGTGGACATAATAATTTAACATGATTCAACTTTTAAAATTGACCCGACCGATCCGACCCGACCTTATCAGATCCGATCCGATCGTCCGAATTGACCCCCCTAGATTTGAATCCCCTATAGAATAGAACATCACAAGAACTCCCTCCCGACACTCGAAACAAACCCAGAACCCAAAAAAAAAAAATGGGGCTACTCTCATCATCATCATCTTCAACCTCACAACAAAAAGGGATTGTAATCACAATACCAGTCTTAGTTCTTGCTCTTTCTACTGCCGCCATTTTTCTCTTCTTCTTGCTTTCTTCTCTCTCCTCTTCTTGCTCTTGCCCTTCTTCCCCTGATATCACCGGAACTTTTCGCGAATCTTCTGGAAAATCCGAGGAAAGGGTTTCAACATCAACGGAAGATATTGATTGGGTTCTGGATCAGATCCGAATTAATGGGTTGCATATGAAGGATAATGTTTTGCGGAAAGGGATTAATCCTCGTACTAGGGTTCAACAGCTTGAAGATCTCCGACAGTATGCCCCCTTTTTCTCTTAATTTGATTTAGGTTTTTGGTTTATTTGATTGAATTTATGAAGTTAATAAGATTTTTTGAGATGTTTTTTTTAGCAATGTTGTATCATTTTTGCTTCTTCAAGTTCAAATTTTAGTAGTTTTTTGGGGTATAGGGAGTCGCAAAGGACAGTGATGTAAACTGGATTTGATCCGAAGTCCCGGGTTCCACCTCTAAGACTTAAACTATCTAAACTATTTGGAGTAATCTCAAATTTGAGTGATTTTAAGTTGCCAGATTTTGGCGCAATTATCAAAGTTTTAGGCTTATGATTTGTCATTTAAACATGTTTTGAGTGATTGTGAAGGGTTATTGAAACTATTGAATATGTTTCTTTGCTTACATTGTGTTATTACTGATCACTGTGATCAGTGATGATGTTATGTTGTTTGTAATTTATAATTACTGTTCCTTGCATAGCAAATCTCATTATTGGTTGAGTAATTACGGCTGGAAACTAAGAGCATTCACGGCCTGATTGATACGCGGTAATGAGAATGGAGTTACATGTAACTTTGTAAGGAATGGATTTGTACTCACTCAAATTATTACCACCTACAAGTACAAGCTGTTAGTGTAATCATTCATATAGTGCAAGGACTACCTTCTAGAAATTTTTGTCCTGAGCAATAAACTTATGTTATGCTGCTTGTCACCTCGTGTTCAATTGAATGCATTAGTCCTCTTTAATGGTTTGTGCGTATATTGTTTGGTCAGTCATGAAGCTCTCTAGCAAAGGATGTGGGTGTTTTTAGAATTTGCTTTGCTTTCTTTTTGTCATAAAATGTCTGCAATCATATTCTGTATCTATTTAAGTAGCTAGAAATTCAAACAAACCGCTTTATATGTTTCAGGTACAAGGGTATATCTCATTATGAAGGTGATGAGGCCAATAACCACACTGCCCTACCCTGCCCTGGTGAGCTCCTCGTTGAAGAGCATCATAGTAATTATGGTGAACCATGGGCTGGGGGCAGAGATGTGTTTGAATTCCTTGCGGAGTCTGCTCACCTTAGCCCTGATGCTCAGGTTCTTGAAATTGGATGTGGGACGCTTCGAGTGGGATTGCACTTCATTCGGTACTTGAAACCCGAGCACTTTCACTGTCTAGAGAGAGACGAGTTATCTCTAATGGCAGCTTTTAGGTATGAGCTTCCATCTCAGGGTCTGTTGCACAAGCGCCCTATTATTGTAAAAGGTGAAGACATGGATTTTAGCAGATTTGGATCTGAGGTTACATATGATCTGATATATGCTAGTGCAGTTTTCCTACATATGCCTGATAAACTTGTTTGGGTTGGGTTGGAACGGTTAGCATCTAAATTAAAGCCAGATGGCCGAATATTTGTCTCCCACAATATAAAATTCTGTTCTCGGTTAGGTGGAGATGAGTGTACAAAGAGACTTTCAAGCTTAGGGCTCGAGTATGTGGGAAAGCGCACACATGATAGTCTGCTTTTCAATCATTATGAAATTTGGTTTGAGTTTCGGCGAGTGAAAGCTTAACTAGTTTGATAGGCAAAATCACAAAAGCTTATAGCTTATGGTACTTTTTGTCATCTGAAAGGAAAATGAGGTCCTTTGGGGTTCTGGTGTCTTTAAGTATAGTATTGAATTCTGGGGGATCCATTGTTAATCTAGAGCTTTGCACAGAGGAAGGAAACCCGATCAGTTTACGACAGGATGCTCTCTGTGCAGTATCTCACGGAGATCTGTACTTTAAGCTGACTAGCAACTCTCCAAACACAAGGAGCTAGTTTTTTCTCTTTTGGTGCTGCACCTTGTTTTCAGAATAAGAACTGGAAATTCTGGTGGCTGTGCAGTAATTTTTATTTTTTGCTTACTGTAAGTTATGTGTAATTTTTAATTTTTTGTAGATTGTACAATTAATTTAAACAAATATTTGATTCATATATTGAAATTTGATTTTGATATTCATGTGTCCCTTTTGTTATACTTCACTTTGCAGAATGACATTTACAAGCTCATATGTTTCATGACTTGCTTTGACACTGTAGAAGTGTAGATGGGTTTCATGGTTTTTAACCTGTTTGTATTTAGATCTTGAAGGTCACTATATGGCTGCACCGCTATGGACTGTCATGAAGTCTATTCCCTTTAATTACAAACATCTCGTAGGTGTTGCTCTATGTTGAAATTTTGGAATATGTCCGTTTCAAATGTTACAGGTGCTCTAGTGTTGCCATTGGAATGATCATATATCTGTGAATGTTTTGTTAGCCTTGACTTCACATTTGAGACGCTTTTCAGTAATAAGGAAACACTAGTGCATGATTTTTCAAGGAGCTTAAAGAATTCTGAGTGCAGTCCTCTTTATTTTCTGCTCCCCAATATGACCAATACTTCAAAAATTCCCTCGAGTACGAAATTGCAGGGATCATTTCACACAGTACAACTAAAGAGTGAAAGTGTCATGATGTTTATACATAGCTTTTTCGTGTATACATGGCATTAGTGTATCCCCTTTGATAGTTCAGACCAGATTTCTTACATAAACTATTTGTTGGGTCATGCTTGGAGTTCGAATTTTCATCATTCGGTAATAGCTTTTTGATGATAAGTTCAATTAGTTGGGATTCATTATATCGAACTTGCTCTAAGATGGTTTAATCAACAACACTAAGTTCGTTAGTGGTTAGCTTGAACAATCTCATGTAGAACGAGGCAACGAGCCATGACGCGCCATGGGTTCAAACAAGTTTTATTGTGTTGTTCCAACTTCCCAGAAGGCATGACTGCATGAGCCATTTGCCATCTCTAGAAGGGAATCGTGACCAAAGTTGTAGATTGGTGGATGGACGAATCTACCATGCATGATATTAAGGTTGATACCTATTAACTTAGTCATCAAAGTACTCCGTGTTATTGAAGGAACTGTTTAAAAACAAGTATCAAGATAACAAGTCATTTAGTTGCACAAATGTGTAACGATTTTAAGTTTGGTCTTTCGAACAAATGATAATGCAAGGTATGTAGCCATTTATGCAAAGCTTAGGGGTAAAATAAGATTCCTTTGAACAACGAACCAGACATAAGGCTTATTAAGGCTATGTAATTGCCCGCCCACTTAGAGCACGGAGGCAAGGAAATATGGCGCTCAACATCTATTAAACAACACCCACTCACTCCAATGCAAAAGATAAGTAGATCCCACCAAATACTCACTTCAAGTATGTATGTTATGTAACTAAATATGACTTATCATTTTAGCGTGTACACCACATGTGCCGTTGTAAAAAAACTCTAAATTATTAAAATATGCATTGTATTCTATGTCTTTTGTTATATTATGTCATTCTGAACAACTTTTATATTTTTGGAATACGTGGTATTAGCATAATTACCTAACAACTTAATAAAGTGCACTTAAATTAACTAACATCAGCCCACCTCACGCTAGGGCGTGGAGTTAGCCTTGCGGATGGTGTTCACGAATGTCATTTTTGAATGTGGTCCGAGCTATTAAAGACAAGCAGGAAGGGGCTGCCCCAATCTATCACTTTTATGATGATATTAGTCGTATTAGTGAAGAGTTTATTTCTTTTAATTGTGTCCATGTTAAGCGGGTGGGAAATATGATTGCTCATTTAGCTGCTAGATGGGAAACGAATTTTATATATATTGAACATATATATATATATATATGAATTTGTACCTAAAGTTTCCCAAAGTTTTCAAACTTTGACTGAGCTTGATTTAATAAATTGATTTTCCGCCTAAGGCTTAAAAAAAGATTAATATTTGCTTGGAAGGAGAAAAAAAAAAAAAAAAACCTAGGTCGTTTTGGAATTTCAAATTGCAATTAGCAAACCCTCCCCCCCCTTGATCTTAAACCCTAACTAACAAAAGAAAGAACAGCAAAAATCCTTCCTTCATCATAATCCAAAAATGGCGCTCAGAGTTCTGGGTACCATTCGCTACAACTCCTCTCTCTTCTTCTCTCACCTTCACTGTCACCAAACTCCATCACAGTACCGTTCGATTTTTGCCACGTCGCACCTTGATATCTCATGGATGGACTCGATTAAAGGGGTTTTCACCGGCAAAAAACCCACCTCTGATTCGGTTTCTACCGAGGAGAAATTCACCCTTTACAGTAATTTCCTAATTACTTCCATTTTTTCGATATGGGTCTTCTCCAATTTCTGCAATTTTCTATTTTATACTTTTTTTTTCAAGTATTTTTTACACAAATTAATGAAATGAGTTGTTATATTGATATGGTCAAGCAAGCATTTCTTTGAACATTGTAACGAAACAATCTGAACAAAATGACGCCATAAATCCATTGTCACTGTGTTGATTTATTACTGCCTACCAAACGGGCAATGAGGGTGTTGGGGGTTATGGGGATTAATCTTTGTATCATGCTACATTGCTTGATTGCTACTATTTGCAGCTGAAAGCTATATTATGCTACTTGTATGTTTGTCAGAGAGTTTGATTAACTTGTGTAATTTCATTTGGTCACTGAAGGTTTTGCTGATGAGTTGGGTAAGGCGAGGAAGTTGGGATCTTTGAAGCAGTATGTAGTTGGTCGGAGCAGTGAAGCGACGTTTGCTGATGCTTTTGCGAAGCAGGAAGCAATTCTTCGATATCTTGCCTACTTTGATCCAAATGGAGAGGTGAGAGATATTATTACTTGTATAATTTATATATGTACACCCTCATTCAGAAAGCATAGTTACATATACAGTTTTGGGATTTGCAGTAAATCTCTTCACATCATCAATAAGTAGCTGTACGCCTGTACCCCTACCTTAATTGAGCGACGGGGTAGTGTGTGCTCAAGGCCAAACTATTTTAGAGTGTCTTTAGTTAAATCATGCCATATTGTTAAGTTTGGGACAATGTAGAGACTCTTTGAATGTATAGAGTTTTTTTTTTTTTTTAGTATACGAATATAATGTTAAAGGAATGAGTGAATTTCTTTCTTTGTTTTGTATGTAGCTCTGCTGTTTGAAATTGAAAATTTAAACTTGCTGGATAGGCCTACTGTATTTATTCCAACGCTCATCACAGTATTTTTTATGTAGTTGGTACTTGGTACTTCAACTGGATTATCTCATTCCTTGGAATTTTTTTTATGAAGTAAAATCCTAACCGATGATTAAATGGTCAAGTTTCTCTTCTATGGTGTGTCTGTGGGAGGGCAGGGGGTATCAAGATGTTTAGTAGCTACTTGGAGAAGTTCTACTCTTTTAAGATCCTTGAGTTTTGGTTCCGTATTTTTTTTAGTGCTTTGCAAGCTTTCGGTTATAATGGCAGCATAGACTCATAGAAGCCAGAAACCCTCCTTTTGTCTTTATTATTGTCTTTGCTTGTGCGTGGAACTTTAAGTCTCACATCTCAAGTTATGTTTTGATTGAGTCTTTGCTATGTTCATCCACTGATTGTAGAATCTCCAAATCAGTCAAAAACAAGAAGCAGCAAAGCAGTGCAAGTGTACGATAGCTGATGTTGAAAATACTTTGGCAAAATATACGTGGGCTAAAGAAGCTCAGTATAAACTACAGAAGTTAAAGGAAGAGGGAAAACCAATGCCAAAGACCATGGCCGAGGTATTGTTTCCTTCCTCAGTCACTTTTTGTTTTTCCTAAATTTTTGTTGTTATCTATTTATTGATTCTTCTTTAGCCATTAGCATTTTCTTGAAACCTTGAATATTCAGTGTTTGGTTTACAATGTGCATGACATGAATAGTTGGAGAACATAGAAAATCAGAATTGTGAATACAAGAATGTTGTGAAACGATCTTTCTGACATATACAGTTGATAATTTATACAACGGCTATGAATCAAGATGACTGTTAGGTGCTTAGCTATTCTCACTAGAACAGTAGATTTTAGGGAGTTTAGAAGAAGGTTGTTAAAAATAATGAAGAATTTGGTAATCAGATTTGGGAAAATTACTTAGATAGGATTGTATTGATAATAACCGCGTTCAGTTGCTTGGTGCTCTCCCAATCTACAACTTCTTTCTCTACTCTTATCAACACTCAACATAATTCTCTCTCCCATATGCTCTATAGATGTAACCTCAAACAAACTACATATCTTATTCTTTAAGCTACTTCAAGCTACTAACACGTCAATCATAAATGTTAAACCAAACCTTCAAGTGATATATTGTCCATATGAACATGCATGAGGATTACCAAGGGAGAATGATAGGGTGACCCTGACAAAATCTTATAAAATTAATTTTTAATCTACTTTTTCGTAAAAATATGACTAAATAATTTGAGATTTGACTATCCAATGTAAATTTGGTATGGTTAAGGGTGTACTTATAAAACATGAGTCTGTAGCCAATTTGAGTGAACTCCTCTACATACAATATGTGAGAATATTTGTGTCCGAAACTGCTTCCGATAATGTGTAGCTTGTCTATTATACTTCAACGATACTCCTTCTGCCCCTTATGAAGTGTTACATGTACCTCTTTGGGATGTTCCTTATAAAGGGAGAATGATAGGGTAACCTTGATGATTGACTTGTGACAGAAACATCGTAATTAATGCAAAATTTAGCATATATGACACCAACTATAACTTGCGTGCAAGGAGCAACACAAGCTAAAGTGAGTGTACTCGCTAGTACCTATTAATCAAATGTATCATTTTTCCTTTTTTCTTTCTCACATTAACTTTTTTTTCTTCTCTCTCGTCACATTGATCAACCCAATCTTAACCATCACCTAAGGTCCCAATCCCCCTTCTTTGACCCTCTGCTACCTTCAAAAGAATCACAACCTTAAACATTCTTTTCATTTTAAGTGTTACACGTCAGTTTTATTGTACTGATATTATTAAAGCTGGTCCCCCCCATTGAGCTATCCTCACACATTTTCTTCCTCTACTTTTTTTCACTCACTAATCTCTATCATTGTTCTGTGCAACAATCAATAAGGTACAGAGGTGTTAATTATAAGCTTTATGACTTAATCAGTTAATTCACATGCCAAGGCCGTTAAAAGAGATAAAAATATCTTTTCTTTAGGAACTAGGAAGTTTACTTTTTCATAAGCAGCTGTACCAAAATCTTCGGATTCCAATCAACACATCTTGTAGAATTTTTCTCTCTTCATGGCCTTTTATCTCATTTTACTCAACTGATTTGCCAAGGATCCCTCATCATTTCCCTCACTGAGAGAGCTAACACATACACTAAACTGCCTGCACTGGTGATTTACAGTTTCAACCAAGGCAACTATACTGATTTGGTTAAATCTATTGCGGAGACTATATATTTGTGTTATGCAATGTGTATAAGAAAGGGGTAATATTGGATGTCCAGCATAATTAGCATAACATGGACAGAATGCTAGGGAGCTAGCTCAATAAATGAAAAGAATTAGTGAGAGGGAAAGCATGTTGAATATTGTGATAAGTGACTAGTTTGTAGATCTGGGAGTGTCATTCCTCTCGAAAGATGGGCAAGGCTGTAATTTGCATTATTTCAGTCAAATATAGCTTGTTATTCAATAATCATCCTTCTTCAATAATCATCCTTCTTACTCCCTTAATACATCTTTTTAGTCCATAATTGGTGCTTAACCTATGTTAATTCATAACAACATGATTACTTGTTGAAGGACTCAAATACCGAATGGTAGATTAGTGATAACATGATTATTGAATCAAGAAACTGTGTTGGAAGGCAATGCGTCTTTCTCCACTGTTGATTTTACTTCTGCTATTTTTATTCAAATCTCTGGGACCTGTATGGGTGGAAACTTCAAGGACCTCTATGTACATGACATCTTGCAGACTGAAGATTGAGAGGGTTTAGATATAAATAGCTTAGACAATTTTTGAACTGGGATCTGACGATTCTGACCTGAAATTAAGTAGACATGATTTGTCTATTTGTGCAACTTCCAACCAGTTTTTCTGATCGCAAGATGCAAGCAAACTGAGAACTAAAGAGTTTACACTTTTGTCACCATTAAATCTGTATGATATTAACTAATGGATATATGACATTCATGTTCAGACACACCTGTGCTTACTTTAATATGGAAAGGATATAAGGATGGTCCTCAATAGTTTGTTGCAACTGATTAAACTTCTGTTTGTTGTTATTGATTTTTGACCAGTTGCTCTGTGTAGGTCCAAAAATTGATGGGTTCAACACCTCTCGATCGTGCTAAATCAAATATGGCTCAGACTGGTCAGATTAGTCGGAATGCATTTTGTCCATGTGGTTCCAAAAAGAGATACAAAAGGTGCTTCTTCATCGACTATCACTTACACTTTTTTTTTCTTTTTTTCGAATTAAGATTCATCAGTCGGCCTTCATTTACAAGACACTGACTGTTTTTTGCATGAATTGTGGATGAGGATCCTTTATTGGGTTCAGAATTTCAGACCAGAGATACCGTAGTCGGCAGTCCTATACAAGGCATGATAAATCTATCCCTGAAGTCATATAGGTTTGGGATTTTCTTGTCCAAATTTGGGAGACAGATGCATGAAAATATTCCAGCTATTGATGCTTTTAAGTGTTTATTTCAGGGAAGAAAAATCATATCAGATCATTAGAAATCAGATCAGATCATGAAGTTAAGATACATTGTTACTTTCATATATAAATTCTTATAAAAAAAATTAGGTTTGATCTGAAAAGATAAGACAACATCAAATTAAAAGACAATCATATCAAAGCAGGTGAACTCAATGCCTGAAGTGGGGATAGTTTTCCCAAGTCCTAAATAGTACAAATCTTGTAGATTTGGGATGAATCTCCCCTATACTATCACAGACTAAACTGGATGCACGGTTTCTTCATTGTTGAATTCATGTCACATGTTTTGAGAACAATTATATCTGGTAGTTATATCTGTGGCCTTGCTTGCAAGCTGCAAGATTGTTGCAGAATTTTACGATTCCATAAACAATGTACTGAAATGCATCCCATAGTAATACCCGTGTTTTACTTATGGCTTTTGTGAAGGTGCTGTGGAAAAGACAAGTAGCTGGCTTACAGAGAGGATTATTCCAAATATGCTCCATCAACTGATCATTGTGTTTGGAGGAAATAATTAGTACTCAACACAAATCACATGACTTGATTACTTTCTTGTTTCACTGCAATTAGGTATGTTCACATTCAGGACATGAATTTCATGATAATTTCAGGATATGTCTAGAAAGGCTGTGCCTGAATTCCTGAAGTACTTCCTGTGCTCTGGGTTGAATAGTTGATGAATCAAAGAGTTTTTGAGAAAAAGTCTTTCTTGAAATTATACTAGTAAATTTTTTATTGCCCAATGTTTCTCCTTATTTGTGAAATTTGTCAGATAAGAACTTTACTTGTTCTAGAGCTATCTCATTTGTTTATGATTAGTTCTTGCATTACATGATGAAGTTGCTCTTGATGGTATGGGATTTTTGAACTCCAGGCGCCGGAACTTCCGCATATGCACAGAGAACTTGTATACTCGGTGCTATGGTGTTGTTGGAGGAAAGACTTGACTACACATGTTGATTGTGTAATTCATAGAAAAACTCTATTTAATCTCCAACATAGATAATACAAGCATACCACAGTTCAGATGTTCAATTCAATTTGTTGAATTTGCAATTTCATATATTGTAATATACTGTTGCGCAATATCTATGGTGCAATCAAATTATATCTTTAACAAGCATGGTATGACACTTTACGATTGAAGTTGTTAAAATACGCAATCGAAAATAATCGGGTAACTAGTTTTTTGTTTCTACATCTACAAATCTAAGCGAAGGAAGCATAAACCTAAGGAACAAAAGGAACCATATATGTCTGCAAGCAATTACTTTCATGCATCTGTTGAATATCATTCCTGGGAACCTTATCCAATCTCCACACAGCAAGCAAGAAGGCACTTTACATTTTCTAGTATACGATAAAAAAAACTGCTTTCAGATTATCTGGTATACCTTTTCTGTATCTACGAAGACTAAGATACTAGACCAGTAAAGCTGAACTTCCCAATTGTTCCTGCAAGTACAATGTATGGCCTGAACTCTGAAGACGCGCCTGAGCTTCAGGTTGCAGGGCCAATTGATCATGGATAAACCCTCCTTGCCTACACAAATGAACCCCTGTGTCTTGATTGAGTAAATTTTCCTTCTTGTCAACTCCAATAGATCAACAGCGGTTCAATTTGTCTTTGGGGAAGTTTGACTGATGAAAGTGGCTATGAGTTGAAGAGGAGCTCAACCGCGGTTCAATTCGTCATCTAGTTGTTACATCTTCCGGTTGTTTGCAAGTACCATAGTTGGTCGATAAGAAGGATGCTAAATTCACAAAGATGAGTATTTCATGCTTCATCATATGCTTCATGCTCAACCAATTGTTACAAGTGTATGCGAATTGTTATTCAAAAGTCTATGATGACTTGCAAAAGAGGCAACTGCGAACATTTTTTATTATACTTCTTTAATTGCACCATTTGAGATTTTACACTATTCATACAACTTTTTTTGACCATATTTTTTGATTTATCCATAGATAAAAACATAGTAATGTGGGATCTCATTAGAATCATCTCGACGCTTACTTTTCAAATATCAAATTTTATAATTTTTACTTAAGTATAATTAAAGATATTAATGGCCAAAGTATTGCATTGGCAAGCGTGAAATGATACATGGTGCAGTTAAAAAATCATGACCATTTATAAATACTTTAAATAAAGGACCACAATCTGGTCATGATATGGTGTGATTCATATGCCAAGTCAACCTGTAGAGTAATCTGTTTGTTGCAGCTCTTTTGTCTCTTTGTTTGATTTTTCATATCAAGTTTAAGCCACAGGTTGGTCGTGATTAGCAAGAAATTCTAGGTCGTGAGTGCCTTGGAGTAGAGTATCTTGTCGATGTTGCATCACTATTCCACGTCCGTTGCCTTTTATTGTAAAAGGCTGGGCAAAACAATGCAAAAGCAAAAGAACTCCGCTATGAGAGAAAGAACAAATTAAAGAAAGAGAAAGATGGGTGGGGTGCTAGTAAAGGTATTGGAGTCCTTTCACTGATTTGTTGTCGATTTTGATAAAATTTTGTTGTGATTTTTAACAACCCTCAAAAATCTACAAAAACGTTAAACTCTAATGGTTTACTTGTATTTGGTTATTGGTAATAAATGGTGGTAATGGTAATAATTTTACAAGTAACTTTATAAAGAAGATTTCATGTCAATGCCCATGGTAATGTTAATCCTTCCTTAAATACCTCACTTTCTTCGCAAACTTTCATTATTATTTACTATCGCTTTAAAGGTAGTTATGGTAATGAAATTTTGTGAACAAAAACACATGTTCTTAGGCGGAGTTCTCTTGATATGATAATGACCATAGGATAACTTTGCAAAATTACCTACAAATTCATTACCATTCCTACAGTTTATGACCGGTTATGAAACATTTCGTAATTGACATATTTAACTCTATTAGAATATAAGGTACTAAGAGTAGAGTGGAAAGAATTTCGTAGACAAGAATTCTAATTCTAAGTGACATAGCTAATTCCCTTCAAAAAAATGGTAATCACGAATTAATATTACTAAGTTAATGATAACTTAAGTTAAACAATTTGTTAATTCCCTTACCATGGTTTAGTTATTGAACTGCAAAAAGACATAACTACCCCCAACCAATTCTTTCTTCTTCTCTTTCCCCCTCCATAATTCTTTCTTGCTTATTCCTTTCTCTTTCCTCCTCCCCGCTACACCTCCCTTTCCAACCACCACCGCCATTGTTAAACTGCTTGTTAAGGTCGGAATCGAAGCGAACTCAGAGTGCCGCAGCTTTTGCGCTGTATAACCTCTCGCTTGATCATAGCAACAGAGTGAAACTCATGATCCAGCCACCTCCTCCCCCTGTCGGTGTCCAGCCTCCCCCACCTCCAGATGGCGACTTGCTGCCATTCGAACCGCAAAACCTCAGCGAATTCAACAACAAAACCCCGACAAATTCGACCCAAAACCAACAAGTTTGACCACTAATTCAACCCCAAAAATCAATAAATTTGACCCTAAAATCAACATATTCAACCCCAAAAATCAACATATTCGACCCCAAAAACCAACACATTCGACCCCAAAATCAATAAATTCGACCCCAAAATCACCAAAAACCCGAGAAATTTCAAGCAAAAATTGGGATGGAGATCAGAGGGAATCGGAGAAGGGGGGAGGGTGGCTGATTCCGGCAAGGGAGGATGGCTGATTTTCCGGCGGGGGAGGGGGTTGAGAAGCTGTCAGCCGGGCCGAGCTGAGCGCCGGCAAGGGGAGGGGGCTGGCGGTTGGCTGGGGAGGGGTTTTGGTTTTTTTTTTTTTTTTTAAGAAAAAATAATTTGAAGGGTATTAATGTAAATCTATTGTTACTTAACCCAAGATTAACCCTACTTAATCGTTTAATGATATTTTAATATCGTTAATGTTACTATTAGCTTAGTAATATTAATTCGTGTACCATTGATAATAAAAAGTTTCAAGCTTTACCACTGAGAAAAATTAAATTTTGTGGTTATCAGAGAGAATTTCCCATCTAATTTTGATATAATCGCCTAATTTGACTATAATTAGGGGTCGTTTGGTTCGCAAAGGGTAATCGGAATGGAATGAACAAAGGGAAAAGAAAATAATGGAATGAAAATACCTTATATTTGCTATGTTGTTTGTTTTAAAAACAAAGGGAAACAAATCCCACTAGTCCTACCACCACCACACAACCACCTAATTCATTAACTTTCCAGCTTTTCCAGCCACCATCTATCCACCAAACCACTCACCGCAGCTCTCCCACCCTTGTCGGCCCAACGCAGCTCATCCTTCCTCCGAAAAACCTCCCTTACCCCAGAAAAACCCTAGAATCTAGTCTCACTCCTCGTAAAACCCATCGCCCGGCCCTCCCCCACCCTCAAATCCCTAGCGCCTAGGGTTTCAATGGTGGGGGAGGGTTAGTCGGCCGTTTTACAGTGAGGGAGATGGTTTTTTTAGATTTTTTTGGTTTTTTGATGGTGGGTTTTGAGAGTGAGGATGGCCGACGAGGGGTGGGGGAAAGGCAGCGAGTGGTGACGTGGCTGGCCGTGGTGCGGTGGTGGGACTTTTCGGTGATTTGGGTAGGTAGGAGGGTGGTGGTATGGTGGTGTAGTGGTGGCTAAGGAATGGGAATGGAAATACCTAAGGGGGGTGGGAATCAACTTAGAAGGATTTAGGGGAATGAAGAGGGTAAAGGAAATGGGGAAAAAGGCGTAACAAACAACAACAAAGGGAATCAATACAATTGATTCTCATTCCCTTTGATGAATACCACCAACCAAACGACCCCTTAGTGTATCAAATGAGGTTTTGTTAGATTGGTTCAATGGTGTATTTTTAAAAATAAATTTAATGTTGTCAATAAATTAAAAAAAAAAATCATAATGCTAACAATTATGAAACTAATCTTATGATAAAAAAATAATTAAAGAAAACTAATCATATGAATTATGAAATAACAAAAATAAATATACGTAGTACTTAACTTTTCTAATCAAAGTCTTAAATATTCTTACTAGTCACACGGTGATTAGTCCATGAAAGCCAACCTATTTTCGCTCTCAATCTTTTCACTTCCTCTCCAATTCATGGAAAAAAACCCCCTTAATTTCGCCCTAATTTCTATTTCCCTTCATCTCAATTACTCTCACTCACCTGCATAATTGATTTTCTGATTCAATCAATTTGCTAATTCACTGTATTCGAGGTCAATCAATTTGTCAAATCTTTTGCTCCTTTTCGTCAATTCTAATACCTTAAACCCTAATTCACAATTCCAAACACGTTTCGTCAACAAATTCCCCCAAATTTTGTAATTTTGTTGCAATGGATCTGGAAACTGAGAATCGAATAGCATCAATTCTATTGAAAGAAGCTGCAGAAATTCGGCGGCAAGCTCAGCAAGATGGTGCACTCGCTTATCTTCGCAACCCTACTGTACGAGGTCGCCCTAATTCTCGTTTTCTTACGGCCACTGTTCGCGGTATTCAACAAGGTATAAACTCTCTCTTCTTGTTGTTTTCATCAATGAAGGATGATCAGTGAAATTACTATTTGTTACTTTAACTTTGCTACAGTTGATTGTATCTTATTTTGACAATTTGATATGTTTGGCAAATTGGGTTATTGTGTTGTTTTGATTGTGCCATTAACTTTGTACTGGTTATATATTTAAATGCTCGCGATCCGATTATTGATTTTCCGGATGGAATTCCTGTTGTTGTCACTTTATTCACCACACAACCTAGGAGAAAAAAAAAAAAGAAATGGTAATTTTCAGCTTGCTATTGGCTTTATATGGGTTGATGCTTCCATGAAGTGCTTAGGAGCGCTTTGAGGTTCAAGATGGCCTTGACATTAACATTTAGGATGCTTTCAGGGGCTGGTTGGTTGGGGGTATTCATCAAAGGGAAAGGGAATCAACTGCCCTTGTTCCCTTTGTTGTTGTTTTGTAGGCATTTTTTGCCATTCCCTTTGATGAATGGAATGAATTTGAATCAGAGCTTATCACTTAATTGGGGGGGTAATAGATGGGTGGGATCAGTTATTCTCAAGTAAAGGAAATTGCTACTATACCACTCAAACAAAACAAACATGCTCTAATTCTGACCAATATGTACACATAACTAACATCCACTGTGACCAACATTAATCCTTGTGTCTCTCTTGCATGCTACTCTTTGTGAGTTGCTGTATCCATCGTCACACCCTACAACATTCCTCCTATAAGTATGGAGTAGTTTCATTCATTGATATTATCTCGTTATTGGATTTCATATTGCTGCGAAATAGTTGATTATATTAGTGTCTGATTTTGGTGCTTATCTCACTTATGCCTTATTGTCTATATGGCCAAAAGTTCATACTTGTACTCCTCTCTTGGATAGATTTACTGCTAATAAATCACTGAACAATTAGAAAATCTGAAAGATTGAAAAGTTTCTTATTGGGTTCAAGCAACCAGTGTTACTTTATTATGCTCTTGAGTTTTGTTTGTCTCTTCTTTGGACCATAGATTAGAAATTTCATTGGTTCAGTGCACTTTAAGGGTCCAAGTTTAATTAATAAATATGTATATGCTTACATCTTTCTGCAGCTGAGAAATTTGTTATAGTAACAGTGCCCATTGTCATGAATTTTTGTAGATAGATTTAATTATTAGATAATCATCGGTTTACATATTTAATCGACGGCTTAGAGCTTCGAACTGTTAATGTTATTCTGACAGTTAATCGGGCTGTGGAGGTAAATGAAATGTGGCGGGTTCGGCAGAAGGAGAAAGAGCTGGATGATAGGCTTAAAGATAGGTCAAGGAATTATCACAGCCACAGTAGCAGAGATGAAAAAAGAGATTTGTCTGGAAGCCAAAGTAAGAGGCATAGTTCAAATTTCTCATGCTCATCAAGCAAAAGATCATATGAAGATTACTCTAAAGAAGACGAAGACGAAGACGAAGGCTTGAAGGATGAAGAGATTGAAGAGTTTCTGCACTCAAGGTCTTATAACCAGCTCCTGCATTTAACTTGCTTTTTCTCCATTTGTTTTTTAGTTCCTACCCCATTTTCCCCAACTGCATGATAGTAATAGCACTCTTTTAAATGAAATGCTTTATTTGTGATGCTTCCTTCTCTTATTAATATTTGAGAAAGAAAAAATAGGAGGGGAGGAGGGGGGTGTTCTTTTCTGTCTTGCATATTCTCAACCTTAAAAGGGGACATTTCTCCAAGTAACTGCTATATATCTTTTATGCTACTTCTTTCGAGTCTGACACTTTTATGCTACTGGGAATGTGAGAATTACAGAAAGTGAAGTAAAATTATAATTACTTCATGGTCTTCATCTATGAAGTATCAACAAATGTCTCAATGAACTTCATATAATTTGCAGAAAATACTTCACTTTTCTTCTTTCAATAATGCTAAGCTTTCTTGTTTTACATTTCTCATGGTATTTATGTTTGTCATCATTAGTAACTTATACTTTGAATCACAAGTATATATTATGTATTGAGTGTTTTATTTTTTCTTTTTCATTTGTGGTTTGCCACATCTTTAGCTCTTTATTACTATCTTCTCTTGGAAAATGTGTTCGCCCCCGCCCTTCTCCTTATTTGTTGGTGATACTTTTGGATCGAATATATTAATTATTTGCTCTTATGATGAGATGTGTCAAATTACTAACCAGGGTTTCCGTTGATGGCAGGGTGAAACGTGGTAGGGGTTCTATAGGGTCAAGGATGGATGAAACTGGTCCTTTTCTTCCCCGTTCTTCAGAATCTCCAGACGGTGTGGCTACTGACTACAGTAAGGAAGAGAGGCGTCGTAAGGCTGTTCTTGGTGCAGAGAAGCCCTCATCTTGGAAACATTGTGAATCTTCTGATGAATCATCTGACAATGATGAGCAAAAGAGATCCAAGAAGACTAGTTCAGGAGGATCGAAAAAGAAACACTCCAAGAAGCATAAATCAAAAGAGAAGTCAAGGGATAAGAAAAGGAGGAAGAAGGACAAACGACATAAACACTAACTAAGCTAAACTGCAACTCTTGAATTCATATTGAGGGTTCAATTCTCTTTGATGTTCATATATCTCTGCATGTTCCGCTTAACAATTGAACAATGATTCTTAATTCCTGGCATGCACGATGTTACAAGTGTACTTTCCTATTTTGGTGTTCCATTGTATGTAATTATGTAGATGCAGTGGATACCAAAAAGTATCCATGTAATAAGAAGCAGCTGGTTTTTGTACAATTTTTTGTTTATATACGTAGTTCGATATTGGCTTACCTTACAAATCTTGGCATAATTAATCTGCCAATTAAACCTCTGGTAGCAACAGTTAATTAACGAGCATTAACATAAATTCTCTTTGTGTTGGTTAATTTTTGAAATTTTGTAGAAAATACTACATATATTCCACAAAATTGTCATTTTAGACTAATTATTTTTTAAATAAAATGAAAGTCAAGTGACAATCTACTTTTTATTATTTTTTGTTTTTCTTTCTTTCAATGAGATGCCTATTAAATGACCTAGATTTTGCAAGGAAAATGTGTCTTGGAAATATCTCTGAAGGAGACTTGCGTAAATTATATTACGAGCCATAAAGGACAAATGATATAGATGAGATTTGATCTCAAGTTAGGAGTACTATCCTAATATATCCGACTTAAACTGCTATATAGATGAGATTTGATCTCAAGTTAGGAGTACCATCCTAATATATCCGACTTAAACTGTTAGTGTAGCTCATTTTGTAATTCTACCAACTTATGTTAAATGCTTACGTTAAAAGTTTTTTTTTTTGAACAATATGTTAAAAGGTTTTAGCCAAAGTAAAACCACTAATACTAGTAGTATTAGTGGTTTTATGTCATAAACTGCAATTCATTAATTAAAATCGCTATTATCATACGCGATTTTAGCCATAGAAATTTAAAAAATAAATTACTTCTAACCATTTTCACGAGTAAAATTTGTGAGTAATTAGTATTTGTATCACCACATATAAAGAATTGATTTGAACTTTTTTCATGGAAATCACTTTTCAAAATCTAGAGTTCGAATGGTTTCAACATAAAAATTCTAGAGTTTGAATTTCTTCAACTCTTTAACCGTATCTAAATGGTTCTTAATATGAGTAATGAGACAATCACTATCCTTTCTCACACATATGACTGATTTAAAATTACCATCCAAATCCAACTCGATCCACCATCCATCCAACTCGACCCGATTCATGATCTATTTATTAGTCGGGTGAGTTACCGAGTTTGGTGACCGGAACCCAAAAACCTTAACCACACAACAAGGTAAGAACTGAGGAGAAGTCTACTCTTGCATTAACAAAGACAGCGACACCCAAAATCACAACAAAATTTTGTGATAAAATCTCAGAAACACCACCACCATGTTTGTCATTCAGAGGATGGCGACCACCACACCCATTACTTTCTCCCTCCTCTCAAATTCCCTTCGATTTCTCACTAAACCCTCTTCTCCTTTCACTTCTTCCCTCAAAAATGGCTTCTCAATTTCCCCCAAATTCTCTGCCAAAAAGCTTGCATCTTTCTCGTTATACACTCCTAGAAATGGGTTTTGTATTTCTTCTGCTGTTGCTTCCCCTGATTCAATGGAGACTGTAATTAATGGAGATGAGAAGAAATTGGAGGAGGGAAGTTTTTCTGAGGTTAGAATTAAACTTCCCACTAATGAATCGTCTGAGAAGCTCTTGAGGGTTCGTCATACGGTGCGTTTTTCAATGATTTAAATGCTTTTTTTGTTTTTCTTGTTTTTGTGTTTTTTTTGAAGTTTAATTTGGGAAGAAATTGTTGAAATTTGAATTGGGTGTGTCTTGTTTATATTTGATTTGCGATTAAGATGTTGAAATTTGAATTGGATTGGTGATTGTATTTTGGAAACCTAATTTGGTGTGGTTTGTGGAGGAAAGTTTGAAACTTGAATTGGGTATACAATGTTGTATATTGCTGACTACTGAATGAGTTTATTAGTGCTGTTATCTGAATTTTTGGGGGATACCTTTTGGAAACTTGAAATGAGTAGATTGTGTTTGAGGGGTGAAAGAGTATATTCAGCTTGTGTTCGAGTTTTGGATACCCTTTTTAATGAATTTTAGATAAAGACATGATTTAGTTACATGTAGTTTCTTGGTTTTAACTGCCTAGTGAATATATTGGGATTTAATTTCCATATTTTAGTGCTCAATTGGATATTTATATGGAAGAATGGGCTAATATGAAGTGAGGTGTTGTCTGGCGGGTAAGCGTTGATCAATTGATTGAATCGAGTTGGACTTTTGGACTTTGGTGGAAAGTTGCATTTGCTATGGGTGCAAGGTTGGAAATTTTCGACTTAAACGGTTGGTTATGGAAATTTTTAAATCTATTTTGGCTTTAATTGGAGTTCTTGTTTGCCGTCTGAAATGGAATATATCTGATAAAAGAACAGCACAAATCTATGAGTCTCCTTTATATTTGGCATTGACCCATCAGAGTCATGTGAATAATAATATACGGAATAGTTGGCTCGATACGAGGTTATGACTGCTCAGTTTCATTGTGATAGAATTTGGCTTCAATAATTTGTTTGATGGGTGCAACATTCATGACAAGAATTGTTCTTGAGTGTTTAATCTGTCATTTTGTTCCTCATACTTTTAATACTGTGTGCCAATAGGGAAGTATTTCTGTGTTTGTGAATATTGTGCTGCAACTTCTGCTTACTTTACCTTCCTCACAGTCTTCTGTAGGAGTATTTTGGATTGTATATGGTTGATTGGTATGCTATAGTGTTACTCTGAATTGGCAAAGGAATTTGGAAGCCATAAATTCTGTGGCTCTGTTTGTAGATATTGATTAGTGGGAAGGTCAGTGCTTGATGGGATGGGTACGGACTATTGTTTCCACTACTTGTTTCCCTCCTGCAACTGATATGAATGGTGTTGTTTTGAATCGTAAGACACTTGGTTCGTGCTCAATTATAACTTGACAGAGATCTAATCTCAAGTAATTGTAGGGGATTGGTTCTTGTTTCTCATGATCTTGGAGTCTTGGACCCTTGTTCCTTAATGGGTTTAAATGAAGTTAATTGCGTAACAGAGATATGTTGTCATTTATTATTATCATTTCATCAATTTTTATAGAGGTATATTCATTTGGTGATTGGTATGTTGATTATTTTTATGGGTTTATTTGGAGTAACACTGGTAACTTGCTTGCAGTGTGCACATGTGATGGCCATGGCTGTTCAGAAGCTGTACCCAAATGCCAAAGTGACCATTGGACCGTGGATAGATAATGGATTTTATTATGATTTCGATATGGACCCTATTACTGATAAAGACCTGAAGAGAATCAAGAAAGAGATGGTCAGTAAAAACTATCAGTCAAACTCTAAATAATTAAACTTTACTAGCTGGGTGAAGTATTTATTAGTGTATGGTTTCATGGTACAGAATTTATTTCTTACATCATCTGTAGGACCGCATTATTAGTCGAAACTTACCACTAGTCAGAGAAGAGGTTTCCCGAGATGAAGCCCAGAGGAGAATAATGGCTCAAAATGAACCTTACAAATTGGAGATTTTGGACAGCATAAAAGAAGAACCCATAACAATTTATCACATAGGTAAGTGTTTTGGGAAAATATGTGCTTCCATGATCACTTTAACCTCTTATTGTTTGCTGTGAAGTTTGCTCTTGCAAATGACTGATTCTTAGCTACCTGATGCCCTTGTATCAATAATTTTTATTGTCTTTAAAATTGACAGTATAATTCCATGCTTCTGATGTCTGTGCTTGTAGTCTTGTAGACCATTGTCTTGTTGATTTTGTCCTTGTCAGTTGCGTTCTAGTTACATTGAGCGCACTGGTTTATTCTAAAGGAGAACGCATTGTGTTATGCCTTGTACTGCGTTCCCTTACTCTTTAATTTTTTATTTTTTATTTTTTCTCATTATCTGTTGCAGTTTAACTCAAAATCTTGATGCAAGTGTGGGGAATTGAGATTCTAGTGTTATTTTATTTATAATTTTTTTTTGTTCTTTCTTCATTAGCACCTAAAACACTCATCCAAGCACTTTCCTCCAACCTCTGATGATTTGAAAATCTAAATGTTTCTATGAGAGTGAAAGATGATAGTGCTATATAAACTTGGCACTTCTGATAAGCCATCACATGGATACAAGTTAGGCCTTGGAATGAAAGACAATTCCAAATCCACTTTGTCTACGAACAAGGATGTCTAACACCACCTTGCCTGACTTGCTTTTCTGTTGTCGTCTGCAAGGTTAGCTAATTATTAGGTGGTATTGCAGTTAAAAGCTCCTTACTTTCTTTTGCATAGGCTCTCTTGGGTAAATTAGGGCTGTTCGTTAGTCTTTACGCCGTCTTGAAACATTAATTATGTTTGTTTCACACGGGATAAAGATCGTAAAATCCTCAGAGTAGTTTGATATCGGTGATGTCTGGGTGGTGTGGCTAGAGATGAATTGACTGGATTTTCTGAAATAAAGTTTAAGCTACATCCCTTATGGATGAATCGGTCTGGGCCCTTTTTATTTATTTATAATTTTTTTTTTGGGGTGGGGGGGCTATGCCTTAAGTAAATTCAAAATTTTACTGCCATAATTCTTTTTAATTGGTCCTATTCATTTTCAGATCCTTTTCCTCTTTCTGGTACTTTGTATAATGCTATAATGTATGGAAAATGTTCAAATTATCTCTCCCTCTTTTTTTCATTTTTTTTTAATTTATTTTTTATGTTTTTTTTTTTTTTTTTTTTTTTTGGGGGGGGGGGGGGGGGGGGGATAAACAAGACAATATCTACAATAATTAAAAGGAGTAAATGCTATTCTTTTAATAAATTTCTAATGCCACTGCTTCTGCATGATTTACATCTGCTGAGACCTGTAGCCCTTATAAAGTTACCAACAAGAGCTGTTCATTGGGATTTCATTTGGGCTAGCCAAAATTAGTTATACTTGTTATAGTGCAAATTAAAGCTGATGATGGAATTGCTTAAGTCAAAATTGAGCAATCATGATTTTTCAAAATATTCTATCGTTTTCCAATTTTAAGTTGTGTAATTTAAGTATTCGAGATGCCTTGCTTAATAATTAATACAATGATTTTTCGTTTGGATTTTCTATTGATTTAGTGCTATGAAGTTTATGCTTTTTTATTTTTCTTGTTACTCAGTTATTTCCTGATTTTCTCTTGATTCACTGTGTACTTGTAGGGGATGAATGGTGGGATCTTTGTGCTGGGCCCCATGTTGATACTACTGGAACTATTAATAGGAGAGCCATTGAACTTGAATCTGTTGCTGGTGCTTACTGGAGAGGAGATGTAAACAGGCCAATGCTACAAAGGATTTATGGCACAGCATGGGAAAATGAAGAACAGCTGAAAGCTTACCTTCATTTCAAAGCAGAAGCTCTACGGCGGGATCACAGACGTCTTGGCCAAGAACTTGACCTGTTTTCCATAGAGGTATCTTATATCTATAACTTTTATGCTTTGTTAAGAGTGTTTAATATTCCAGAGCCCATTCACTACCCTTTTTATTTCCCCCACACTCATCGTTTGTTTGTCACAAAAAGATTCTGTCCTGTTCATGTAGACTTGTAGATCCACGAAGAAGGCTTTTTTTCTTCTCCAAATAAATGCAATTGAAAACTCAAAATATTATTTTAATTTCATAGTTCCTTATAGCTTGCTAAATCCCAGATCATCTATGAGTTTGCTAATATTGCTAGTGAGGGGCATCTGGCTTTATGACATAGCTGAGCTTTATAAAGTATTAACAGTTCATGCTTGGTCCTTTTAACTAAATAATTGCTATGGAGTTCATGCGGAGTAAGTCTTTGAGAGGTTTGTTACTTATTTTTGTTGAATCAGATCAAATCAGACTGCTTGATCTTTAATTTCTGTGTTTTTTATATTACCAAGTATCTTTAATTTTGTATTACATCCGTTGTCCCCAAATAAAAGTCCCATTTTTGCACAAAACTTGTCCTTAAATGAAAGTCTGATTTCATTTTTATCTATTTCTTTATTCACTTGTAATCATCCGAACCCCACCTGGCCCACTATACTATTATTATATTCAATTGCTATCTTGTTTTTTATATTCTCCTGTAATCAACCAAACCACACTATCTTATTTTTTCTATTCACCTTGTAAAAACTTGTGCAAAAGGCATATGAGACTTTTATTTGGAGACAGAGGGAGTAGTAAATATTATGAAAATTAGATGGAATATTTACATTAAGATGAATCTAGCAAGAAGGCCAAGAACCCACATGATAATGTTCTTTCTAATTATAAACTAATGTAAAGAGTCAAAGTTATATCATATAGAGTTTAGGCCAACCAAATCAGAAGAAAGATTTAGAGTCTAGAACTAAATAAATTAGACCAGAACCCTTTTCCTAGTGAAATGAGCAAACCCTAAGTGTTAGTTGTGTACTGTGTACGAACTGATTTTGATTCCCAAGTCGCTTGATAGTTATGAATCATAATACTATGAAATTCCTTAATTCACGTTTGCATATAACTGGCTGCCCTCTAGTCTCCTGTTAGAATATGAGGTTTTTTTTTTTTTGTTCAGCGTGCCTTCTGATGACGTGACATCTTTCCCATAAAGTCAATGATTATGATGAACTTATAATAATATGGTGTACTAGAATTTTCATGTTTCTTCTATATATCATTTCTACAAATCAACAATTACTACACTTATTTCATATTAACTGCAACAAATGAGTTTCCATGGACTCCTAGGCGAAATTTTTTTTTAAGTGTTAAATGGAGAAGAAAAGATAGAGATGCTTGTGGTGAGGAGAGAGATTGAGAGAAATGACAACTTAAAAAGGAAAGAAAACATTTGTTGCAAATAATATGAAACATCCATTTTTGACAAATGTTGCAAATAATATAAAGCGGAGTTAGAATTTTTAAATTCAGTTGCTATAAGGAATAAGAAAATATGTTTTATACAGGAAGATGCTGGAGGAGGCTTGGTTTTTTGGCATCCAAAAGGGGCCATCGTGAGGCACATTATTGAAGATACATGGAAAAAATTGCACATTGAACGTGGATACAGTCTGCTTTACACTCCTCATGTTGCAAAGGCAGATCTATGGAAGATAAGTGGTCACCTCGATTTCTACAAGGAGAATATGTTTGAACAAATGAATATTGAGGATGAGCTTTATCAACTACGACCAATGAATTGCCCTTACCATATTTTGGTGTACAAAAGAAAGATGCACTCTTATCGAGATTTTCCAATTAGGGTTGCAGAGCTGGGAACAGTATACAGATATGAGTTATCTGGGAGCTTGCATGGCCTCTTCCGTGTTAGAGGTTTCACTCAGGTATGAAACTTCTGTGACTTTCACATAAATTCTCTTTTCTGAAGATACAAAAACATATATAGTAGATTCATGTGCTGGAGTAATTTTATTTAATTTTTTATTTAATTATTTAATTTTTTTTTTATTTAATTTTTTTTTTTTTTTTTTTTTTTTTTTTTTTTTTTTTTTTTTTTTTTTATCAGAAGTTCTTAGAAGGCCATTGTCTTTCTTTTCTCCAATTATTTGTACTTATCATCGTAAGATAAGTTAGCTAGGGTATCCTAATAGTTACTCGGTTAAGTTCGATAATACGGAGTATTGGATTAGCCTGTAATTTGGTCTCATTTATTGTTTTTCTGTTCTGAGCTGTTATTATATTCTATTTTCGTATCAAACATTATTTATAATACTCCACAAGAGAGGCACCAGTTTTTGTCTATATCCATCATTCTGAAGCTGTCTCAAACTGATGGCTGAAGTTTCTAAACCCTTGGTTCTTTACCTTTCACAATTTATTTTTGAAATTGTTTTTGGGTTTCTTGCTTCTTTTCTTCTAAAGATTAATTATATTACAAAGGTATGTAATACACTATATAATTGTCTATTAATCAATTTATATATCTCTGTGCCTATCATGGATTTTAACTGATTAGAAAATTGTCATTCAGAGGTTTTGAGTACAAGACTAACTGTTCTTCAACGATTGTAGGATGATGCACATATATTTTGTTTAGAGGACCAAATTAAAGACGAAATACGGGGGGTTCTCGATCTTACAGAGCAAATACTGCTTCAATTTGGCTTTCACCAATATGAGGTGAATCTATCTACGAGGCCAGAAAAAGCTGTGGGAAGTGATGATATATGGGAAAAGGCCACATTGGCTCTAAAAGAAGCTTTAGATGATAAAGGTTGGGGCTATGAAATTGATGAAGGTGGGGGTGCCTTTTACGGCCCAAAGATTGATCTCAAAATTGAAGATGCACTTGGTAGAAAATGGCAGTGCTCGACAATTCAGGTAAAACCAAGTAAATAATTTATCTCAGAATCAAATTTATTTAAATGAGGGTCATTATTCTGGCAACTTCTGTCTTGTCTAGCATGAGATAAAAAACTATGTTATGCTTCTTGTGTTGAGACCGAATTGACTGTTTACTTTTCTCACTAAAAATATTATGGCCTAGTTTTTTCTTCACAAAATTCTTGTTACTATATTTAATATAATTTAGCAGTCTTTTTTTTTTTTTCAATATAAAAGGCAGAAATGACTATACATATGGAATACGATACGAACAGCTGAATAAAGTGTGAATATGAAAGTCCAATTGAGTTTTTTATTCACTTACTGAGATATGATCTATGCTGGATATCTCAGGTTGATTTTAATTTGCCGGAGAGATTTGATATAATATATGTGGACTCCAATTCTGAGAAAAAAAGACCCATCATGATTCACAGAGCTGTGCTTGGATCCTTGGAGAGATTCTTTGGAGTTCTTATTGAGCATTATGCTGGGGATTTCCCATTATGGCTCTCTCCTATACAAGCTCGGGTCCTGCCTGTGACTGACACTCAGGTTAGAACTCGAAATTGTACTTGTTTGTGCAATATCAATGCCACGAGCATATATGCATTTTTCTTTGGTAGTATAATTGACGTATATTCTTAACATAACAATGCTTGTTTCTACAGCTTGAATATTCTCATGAGGTTGTCAACAAACTCAAGGCAAATGGCATACGCGCTGAAGTTTGCCATGGTGAGCGCCTGCCTAAGCTCATCAGAACTTCAGAGAAGCAGAGAATCCCATTAATGGCTGTTGTAGGCCCCAGAGAGCTGGAGACCCAGTCAGTTACTGTCAGATCCAGATTTGGCGGGGAATTGGGCACCATGCCAGTTGACGACTTCACCTGCAGAATTAAGAAAGCTGTTGAGAACAGAGGCTCATTCTGACATCCTTTGTTCAAGCTTTCAGAAGATCAATTAAAACTGAAATCTTTTTATGCACTAGAATCACAACACTGATACGGAGTAATACACGCAGACTTTAGATTACTGAAGATTTATCTGCTGAAATTATGCATGCAGAACGAAATTCTCTTCTGATAATCATATTTTTTTGTTAGTAGCTAGTTTGTATTGTATTACGGAGTATTTATTTAATTTGATTATGGTATAGTAAAAAGGTTTTTCAAAATAGTCCTTGTGAAAATTTGATGATTAATTTACTCTAAATAAACTATAAAAACAATGGTTGTTCTTATTCTTTAGTTGTGCTAGGATTTTTTTTATGCATTTATCTCTCTTAATAGGTGATCAAAAGACAGTACACATTAAAACTACTACGTATCAAACTTGAGTTTACCCAATGGAGTATACGAAGTATATGTTTTTTTTTTTTTTAATTTTATTTTATTTATTGAGACAGCATTTATGTAGTTAAAGGGAAACAATGTCTCTTATACCCATTTTCCTCCCAAAAAAAAAAAAGTCTCTTATACCCATAATCCATAAATATGTTTGGTTGTTATTTGATACCTCTTTCTCCCTTTTCCGTTTTAGAATATTCCTAAAACTTTTTATTTTAAGTCCTTCCGCAGATAGTGATGTTACTGCTGCTATAGATGAAGATGGTATTTCCTCAAAAAAAAATAAAAATGGTATGGTCTATCTCTACATACTCCCTCCGTTTTTAAATACTTATTCCATTTTTTCATACGTGGAGTTTTAGGAAAAACTAATAAAATATGGAGGTAGTGAGGTTGGTGGAAGAATAAGTAATTGTAAAAAGCAATAGTAGTTAACAAAATTGGAGGAGAGAGAATATGAAATTAATAAAATATAATTTATGTTGAGTCCACTAGTTGAGAGAAATGAATTAAACATTGTAAAAGCTTTCCAAATAAAAAAATGGAGCAAGTATTTAAAAACGGAGGGAGTATAATGTACTTTCTCTTATTTTTCCTCCATGCAACATTTTTGTTTTTCTAGTTTGACATGGCATAACTTCAAATATAATATTCCATATATATGGCTATGTTTTTTTAAAATATAATTAATGAAATGTGAATAACATACACTATTGTATGTTGCGAAAAAAAAAAAAAAAATTTGAGGAAGTATATATAATTCTAGTAAAGTTAGTGTAAAAAAATATTTTAAAAAAAAAAATTTCTAGTAAAGGGCTAAAGGTTGCAAATTATCAAGTGTAAATGTGTAATGAATGTGTCATTCCTTTGCTGCTTTTAATTTATCGCATTTGGAATCTTTTATTTGAAGAGAGAATCTTTAACTATAAACGTTTATAAATTAATCGAGAAAAAATATACTTGCGTAGGACCTTATTAAATTTGTGTCAATAAATAATTTTAAAATATTAGCCTTATATAATTTTTTTTTGCAATACGTATTCGAAAATATTGTGCTCAAATATATATGTGCATGCACTTAATTTTTTGCAAAAAAGCGAAATGAGACAAACGATCGTATTTGAAATATTGCGTTCAAAATATATAGGAAAAATTGCTGTAAATAATACGAACTTTACCCCGTCCGCTAAAAACAAGTTGAACTTTTGTTTATTTCAAAATAATACGAACTTTGGAGGGTGTCCGCTTTAAACAAGTTATTTTACCTCCAACCTGAATAACCAGTTAAAATTTTCAATAAATTTGTTTAATAATTTAATAACTCTTAATTAAAACTTTAATTATGGTTAATTAATAATTAAAATAATTAAAATCTTAAAAAAAAAACCCACCTCCACCACCAGCCACCCTTTCCCTTTCCCCTTCCCCGACGACCTTCCCCTTCCCCGGCAACCTGTCAACCCAGCCCTCGGTGCCGGTCCTCCTCCCTTGAACCACCAATCCCCTCCCCAAAACCCTTCTCCCTCGCCGACGCCTAGCTTTCCCACCACAACCACCCAGCCAGCCTTCGTCGCAGCAACTCGGCGATTTCGTGGTTAATTGATGGGATCGATGGGCGTAGTTTCGTGGCTAAGGAAGGTGAGAGAGGATGGTTTCAAGGCTGGGCAAGGTGCGGCGATTTCGAGGCTGAGTGAGGTGCGACAATTTCGAGGCTGGGCAAGGGGAGGGTGGTGGTTTTCCGGCTGGGAAAAAGGAGGGATAAGGTTTTTGGGCTAGGCAGCAAGGGAAAGGGAAAATGTCGATGGCTGGCTGGGAGGGGATGTGGGTGGTGTGGCTGTGCAAGGAGAGGGTATTCGTGGTGGTCATGGGAGAGTGTGGTGGCGGCAATGGTGGAGAAAGGGAGGTGTTTCGAGGTTTTCTGATGTCCTGCGGGAGAGTTACAATTCTGAGACTGGAACCGGACGCCTGTACCTGCAAAACAAACGGATGCTCCGGACGATTGGAGATCCGCCTCCGACGGTCAAGTTAGTACTTGATTAAGGAGTAATTAATGCGGAAATAAAAGTAATTGGGTCTCTCTAGGTGAGAGTGTTAAATGTGTGTCCCCCCTTAATGAGGATTAATGGGCATATTTATATGCCTTGGGATGCGTGCCAGTACTAGGTTTAGGTTAAACCTAAGGCTGACTGGGCCTCCCACAATGATTGGGCCTTGTTGGCCGGTTTTCCCATTTGGCATGGGTGGACACGTGTCACATTGCAATTGGTCCAAGGAGGACGAATCTCTTGATGACAAGTGGCAGGCTCCTATTGGCCTATATGAAGGACACGTGGCGAAACCTGGCTGGCCCACGTGTCAGATGCTGATTGGTGGATAAAAATCCCCTAATCATTTGCCCCTCACAGGTGGCACGTGACTGGTCACGTGTTACCTGTGACAGGTGTCGCACCGTGACAGGCGACAGCCTGCTACAGGTGTCACTCGGTGAAAGGCCGAGAGATTCTCCCGCCCAAATTTTGAATTTTGGAAGTGACCCTTTGCCTTCTCACTTTGCCTATATAAGGGTGTGTTGACTTCAGTCATTTTCACACTTGAGAACTTTTTAGAGAGAACATTCGGACCCCTGAACTTGCTCTGACATTCCGGACTCTTTCTGCCTACCGCCTGCTCTGACAAGCCGGCTACTCAGGATTTTCAGAACTCCGTCAACTTCACTCGTTAAGGTAACCGTCGGTTCTCTTACTCTTAATTTTCTCTTTATTTTATTCTTTTTTGAAATGGCACCACGGAAGCACACGACACGACCTAGGTTAGTGATCAGCCGGTCACCGGGGACGGCTGAATCTAGGACTAGAAGTGCCGCCTGCCCTTTTCCGGACCCATCTTTGCCCTTTATACAAAGTCCGACTGTCTCTGTGTCTATGCAGAACATGATGGCAAGAACAAAAAGAACTGCTAGGATCTCGAACTCAGACGGCTCCTCCCACAGGGTGCCGATTAGCGAAACATCTGACCAGGCGCCAGATGTGGAAGTGAACCAAGGCGGCCTGACAGCCGACAGTTCTGAGGGAGGGGTCAAGGTGACCCCTTCCCATTTTACAGTTGACATGTCTACATTCTCTCCTACTCCTTTTGAAGGAGAGAAGGCGGGCCCCTCTGGGAGAGGGGAGGAGTCGTCCTCTTCGGACTCGTCAGAGGACGAATCCGAGTCTAGTTCTTCTGGTCATGCTTCTCTGGACACGGAAGAGAAAAACAACCGCCTACAAGAGGCGAGGCTTTCTCACGCAGTTGAGAAGGGGGACAATTGGGCGGAGCCATCCGCCTCTTACCGAGAGCAAAATACCCCTTACTACTGCACTGTCTCACGGGGCCGGATCACGGCCATGCAAGAGAGAGTGGGGAGCTTTATTGCGAACCACACAATGGGCCCCGACTTTTTAGTTTTCGTGTCGGATCCAGAAGACACAGTCGTCTGGCCGGCTGGTACTAGTTATGATAGCGCCTGCTTTAGCTGCTACGAGGCGGCCATCAGGGCTGGGCTGCGCTTCCCACTACATCCGGCTGTTTAGCGGATCTTGGATGGGTATGAGTTGGGGTTATGGCAGTTAGCCCCAAACTCCTGGGTCAACGTACTCGGCTATGTGGCCGGGTGCGAACTGCACGGGGTGGAGCCAAACTTCGAGGCTTTCGCCCACACGAACTACCTCAGCCGGACCCCTAAGGCAGGCGGTACCGGCTGGTATCAATTGACGAGCCACAGAGGCTACCTCATGACAAGAGGTAAAGCAAACAAGTGGAAGGATTGGCGAAGCACCTTCCTTATCATTGAAAGTTCAGACACAGAGCTGAACAAGCGCTTCAACAGGTGGAACAGGGATCCGCCTCTTCTTGCAGGCGGCCGCAGCATGCCGCCTGTTCCCTCCAAAGCCAAGAAAGAGATCCTGGATAAAGGACTCTTTAAAGTAGAGTCGAGGGTCGACTCTACTACAGGGGTACGAGAGCAAGTACCCCTGCACTGCATCCCGAGCTTCAAATGGCTCTATGACGAGTACTTTCTGGCCGCCTGTTGCCTTAGAAGTCGGTGTTCAAGAGGTAGCCGGCCTGTCGAATACTCTTTTTTGCCATGAGTTACTGTTTATCTTTTTATTAACTTGGTATCTTGTCTTTGTAGCGGACGCCATGAGCAAGATCACCGCTTCCAAGACTGCGGCGGCCATGTTGCGAGCCTCTATTATGCAACAATCCTCAACCGACTCCCCCAACAAGGGGGCGCCCTTGGTGAGCTCCGAACCTTTCACTCTCTTTTTGGGTTTATGCATATACTGACCGAGTGTTTTTTTTTTTTTTTTTTTTTTTTTTTTTTTTTTTTTTTTTTTTTTTTTTTTTTTTTTTCAGACGGGCACTCCAAGAACCTCTTCTTCCCAACAGCCGGACTCCAAGACCCGGAGGACGACTGTTGCGAGCTCTCCTGGTACTGCCAGGAAACATGCGGCGGCTGAGAAACAACCGTCCACTCCTTCTAAAACTCCAATCAGGCCGCCTAGAAGTATGAAGATGTCCTTGTGAATTTAGACTTGCTCCCTTCTTTACTAGGTCTAACCCGTTTGTTTATGCTTGATGCAGTCGGCCCTCAGGAGCCAGACTTGGTCGAGGTGGCCAAGTCTATGATCAAAGCCGTCCCTCCGGCTGAGAGGGAGGCGGTCAGGGGTGTCGGCACCCTTGACCTAGACGGGATTACAGGGGTCCTTGCTGAGGTGTACTTAGCATATTTTTGGTTATTTAAATTCCAAGACGCCTGTTTTTTTGTTTGAAAACTGACGCCTGTTCT